TACAGGGTCCTACGTAATATTGTCTTTTGAGGAAAGGATGTGAATAGAATCGCCAATTTTTTGTAGGCTGTTCTGGGGTTTTCTGAGAAAAGGGGCGCGCTGTGCGAAATAGAAGATTGTTAGAAGAGGCTCGGAACCAGCACCTACATGAGCTCGCATCTTTCATCCTAGTATCCGTGACTCTCTTCGACGGACGTTGTTTTTATGATGTTGCTTGCTCACACACCTTCATATAGGGTGGCACAGAAATATTGTTACATGGAAAAAGCCAATTATCTTCCTCAATACTTAAACGAAGGCAATAAGCTTGGCCCATAATTTATTACGACCGGTGCGGGTTAAAATCGAGAGTTAACACTCGATGGGGCCTTTTTTTGCTTTCACGACAGCCTTCAAACGCGCAAGATACGAGCTGATGATGGGCCGACAGCGATTTCATCCCATGCCTACTTCGAAGCCGATATGAGCGAGTCGATACTTCTGTAGCGAGTAAAGCAGGCCTTCTGCTCGACCACCGATCACATCGAGTAGTCCAATAATTGGGCCCGGGGGAGAAAGACGGCCATTCATTGCCAGGGATGAAGGCCGGCAGCATGGTCACGCACAAAGCCCGGGTCTTCCGCGACTTGTGCGCGGGTACGGAATCTTGCTGGAAGACCCAGTGCTGTTTCGAAGTGTGAATGGCCTCAAGGCAATAGCTACTCCTTCAAGATGTGCCAGGTGTAGTGATCCATGTCGATCTTCAAGCCGGAGCCGAAAACAGCGGAGTCTTCCCGCAGACGCACACTCCAGCCCACACCATCACGTTAACAGGGTGAGAGCCTCAAGAGACAACTCTCCTCGTGGTATCGGTCTGCCTGAGGGGATGAGGCGAGGACCGCTTATTTCGGGCAATCGTTGCTACCTCCACGATGAATAACTTTCGTCGTAGAAGAGGGTCTCTAGGTGCTCTCCGGCAGTGGTCCGCGCAAGTGTGGCCCGACAGCTTGTTCTTTTCAGTAAGGCAATGGAAAATTCCGGTTTTGTAAGGACAGACTCCAAGTGGTCGTGTACCAAGCTTCGATGGATTATCACGAGATCTTGAGCTCATTGGCCAGTTCTCGCATGCTGCTACAAGGGTTCCTATTGATGCACTTCTTGGCAGCTATTCCATTCGCAGAAGTCGTTACGCTGCGCGGTCTTTCAGATCAAGAACGGTCGGTAGTCGTATCAATCTCGTAGTACCTCTTTGGAATCCTATAGACCGTTAAATGGCAGACGGAGAGCCTTTCGCGATAGACGATGATAGATTAGGTGTCGCCAGCATCGTGTAAGNGCACAATGGCGGCACACATAGGATCAGCGCGTCCCATCTCAGGCTAACTAGTCGGATGGAATCATATAACTTCACGATAGTAACATCAGTTTTTCCGTGTGTCGAGTTTATTGAGTAATACTACTCGGTCAAAGTTTCATAACAATAACTTTGACCACCCTGTAATTAGTCAAGGAGTCTTTACGGCGATCATTGAGTTCGTACTCTTGTGGTCTTCGGTAGCGCAGTCTTGGATGGTCGTCTTAGAATAGATAACCGAAAGTTGTCGTTTCTACACCTCCTATGGCCAATACAGTCTGAGGACCATGAGACACTGTATCTCTGAGTGAATAAGTGAGGAAAATCAACTCTGTGCACTCAAGAAGCCCTGACCAAACAGTGAATGGGCCAGCGGAGGTTGGGAAAAAGAGATCGACTTCAGTCTCACCTTCAGGAGTTCGGCCTTCTGCCATGTACCGGAGGTCTTCGTCAGGTTCGCCTTTTTTGTCCCAATTCTAGCTTGGAAGTGACCACAATCAATCTAGTACACGTTCGCCACGTAGGTGTTATTTCGTTTATCGGTTACGCGTCATGGTCCACCCTTTCAAGAATGGCGATCACTCGCTAGCTGGATCGAGGCCACGCTGTCTAGGGATCATTTTGACTTCGGAACGTTCAGCGCACCCCTTTTTCTTGAAGACTGCGTAAAGTGGACAAGATGNGTTATTTCGTTTATCGGTTACGCGTCATGGTCCACCCTTTCAAGAATGGCGATCACTCGCTAGCTGGATAGAGGCCACGCTGTCTGGGGATCATTTTGACTTTGGAACCTTCAGCGCTCCCCTATTTCCTGAAGACTGCATAAAGTGGACAAGATGCAAAATATAAACGAACTAAGGCTTCGTGAATGCAAAGCCCGACGGAGTTTCTCTAATCAAAAGGCCAAAATGACATCCCTTCGTCGTCCTAACGGAACAGTTACTGCATCTTGAAAGGCAACAGAGAAGGTCATTTACGACTTCTACTAGGAACTCTTCGACAGCCGCGTCTACCTGAATACCCACCATCTCAGGCGAGACGGATATATCGCTCCTTCGTTTTCCCTTATGAAACACGAGATGCTAACTGTACAGCGCCCGGTCCCGATAGGATCAGACCAGAACATCTGAAGTCCTTGACCAGTTACCGTCAGAACTCTGGCTAGGCTCTTCACGTGGTACCTGCTAGAATGCAAAGTGCCCACGTCGAGGAAAACTAACAAGGCTGTGCTGCTGCTGTATAAAAAGGGAGATCCAGACGATATTGGCAATTATTGCCCAATCTGCCTGCTGTCTGTAATCTTCAAGCTTTTCACTCGTGTCATTCTAAACAGGATTGGCAGAATATTAGATGAAGGACAGCCATGCAAGCAAGCAGGGTTTCGGCGAGGGTTCAGCACAATCGATGATTTTCACACTCGACAAGATTCATTGAAGTATCGCGAGAGTACAAAATGCCGCTATGTCTTGCGTTCATCGATTTGAAGAAAGCCTTTGAAACCGTCGAGACAGAAGCGGTAATTGAAGCCCTAGACATCCAGGGTGTACCTACTCAATATACATGGATGCTTCGTGAGTTTTACGACAACTTTACGATCAGGATTTCTGTAATAAACAAGTCATTATCAACGTGAAGAGAGGTGTTATGCAGATACAATTTCGCCCAAACTTTTCAGTGCCGCTCTCGAAAATATCATGCGTAATTTAAAATGAGAAGACCTGAAGAGCCGCCACCTAAATCAGCTGCGCCTTGAGGCGACGTCGTGCTCATAACACCGAACATCGAGCAAGCGAAACGAATGCTGGCCGAGTTTGAAAATGCTTGTGGAA